CCTCCCAAAACACCAAACGGGCTGCCCCGCAAGTCTCCCTCCTCTCCTACACCTATGTGAATCAAGTGTTGGAGGGGACGATCCAGGTCCAGAACCTAGCATATGCCAAGAAAGTGACGGTGAATTACGCCACGGACGTGTGGAAGCCTGATCAAGCTATCAGTGCGACGTATGTCAAGACCAACCAGGATGGATATGAAGTGTGGGGGTTCAAGGGTGTAGCGCCGGGTGCCAAAGAGTTTTATATCCATTATCAAGTTGCCGGCGCGGATTATTATGATCCGGGGAATAACAAGAATCATCAGGTGAGGATTTGAAGGTTGCGAATGTTAGCAAAAAAATTGGGAAAAGTGTATTGATAGGGAGTTTTGGTTTTTCTTTAGATTGTGTCAACCAATCCGCCGGATGCCACTCCCACATCTACCACGACGCCCGTAACGCCTACCCCAGGTCCTACGACCCCCGTCGATCCACCCACCGTACGTACCACTGTGCCGATTGTGTTTGCGTGGCCCCGCTCGGCGCTGACGTTATTATGTATATTTATGTAGGGCACGAGCGACGTCCTTCTCCAAGGCTTCCATTGGACCTCGGCCACGTCATTCTCTGGAAACTGGTGGAAGACTGTCAACTCAAAGGTAAACGACATCAAAGGTTTCTTTTCCACTATCTGGTTGCCTCCTGTGTCGGATGCAGGGTCGCCTGAAGGATACCTACCAAGACAATGGTATGAAATTGTATTTCGTAAACATTTCCGTAACGGTCCAATTAAGACCAGACTATTTGTAGGAACGTGTTGGATACAAAGTATGGAAGCGCCAGTGATTTGAAGACGTTGTTGAATAACCTCAATAATGCGGGTGTGGCTCCTGTTGCGGACATTGTTGTGAATCATCGTGTGGGGACACGGGTAGGTTATTACTGTTCAAAGGATTCTACCCATACTACCGAGTCTCTTACGCTATTTTGTCTCTTCTTTATGACATTGTTTCGCTATGTGATAGGGATGGGCGGATTTCTCCAACCCGTCCTTTCCCGATAACAATGCGGCCATCTGCCGTACCGACGAATGGGCGTCCAACGGAGGTCAACCCCGCGGAAACGCAGACACGGGGGACAACTATGCGTCCGCGCGAGACCTCGACCACACCAACCCCGCCGTTCAAGCCGCCGTCACATCGTACTTGAAAGACACCCTCCAATCCATCGGATTCAAAGGATGGCGGTATGATTTCGTCAAGGGTTTTGCGGGGAAATACATTGAAATGTATAACCGTGCAACCCAACCTGTCATTTCTGTTGGCGAGCTCTGGACGGATCTTAATATCCGAGACCCATCTTCCCATCGCAACATATTGCGTGATTGGATCCGTACCACGAGCGATACCACCTCCGCGTTCGATTTCACGACCAAAGGCATGCTCCAATACGCCGTCGCCAACCGGGATTACGCCGTGATGAATCTCAATGGCGGGCCCGCTGGATTGATTGGATTGGATCCGCAACGGGCGGTGACGTTTGTGGATAATCATGATACGGGACCGAGTGTGGGCGGGGGACAGAGGCATTGGGTGTTTCCTGAGGGACAGGTGATGAGTGGGTACGCTTATATCCTCACACACCCGGGTGTACCCAGTGTCTATTGGTATCACTGTAAGTTCCGCCTTACTCTCGCATACTTGCCCCCTCAGACTTTTGGTTTTGTTAATGTGTATGTTTTTATGGTTTACCAGATTTCGACCTCAACCTCAAACCAGCAATCGACCCCATCCTCCTATCCCGTCGCACAGCCGGTATCAACGCTACCTCCCCCATCACGATTCTCAAAGCCGACACACAGGCATACGCCGCCGTCATCACCGGGTCAAGCGGGCGGGTGGCAGTCAAGATCGGACCGGGGGACTGGAGTCCGCCTGTGAATGAGGGGTTTAAGTTGGTGGCGAGTGGGAATGAGTATGCTGTTTGGAGTGCGTGAGTACAGTGTGTGTGTGTGTGTGTGTGTGTGAGTGCGTGAGTGCAGTGTATGTGTCTATGTGTAGATGTTTTGAAGGATACATAAACGATAGATGTACTCGTTGTGTTTTATGTGAATATGAGTGGATGTCATCAAAGAGCATAAAGATACGATATATCTTTCGTTTGTGGGTTTGCTCGTTTTTGTTTAGAGTTGGTGCATGTAAGCCCTTTTCATTGGCTTCTCCCAGCTTGGATGACTTGATGTCAATATCAAGGGATTTCTCCTTCTCGCACATTTTTCTCAGCAGAGGCACTCAAAAACCAGTCCCAACACAAACAATCAAAAATACAACAAAACGCCAATTCCATACATAACAAAACAACAAAAAAATGAGATCGTCTAATTCGCATTTTTTCGCCCCCCAATGGTATTTTTAAAATAATGACAGATTCATTGTTTTTTGCCCATATCCCCAGAAATTTAAAACCGGAAAGTGTGTGTGTGAGAGAGAAATAAAACAAAAAGTCGGAACATTGGAGAAAAACAAAAAGAAAAAAACAGCAAAGCAAACAACACGGCGTTTTTTCGTATTCACCGAGTGTAGGCTTTTCCATTTTTTCTTCCCCCCTCACCCTTGCCCGGCTCCCATTTTTTCCTCGTGTTACCAGTGCCCTTTCAAGTCTAACAATTTTTTTTCTCTGCAATGCATGGTATGGTGCAGGTTTGGGAATTACTTAGTGCTTGGCAACTTCCTTTCCGGCGGACGGAGCAGGGGCGACCATTCTCGGCACCTGTAATAAACACAACATGGTTAGTTACTGTCTAAAGTCCATCAACAAAGCAAAGCAGAGGAACATGAATATACCTCGTTGAAGTGGTGGTAATCAGGGGGAGATGGTATGGACCATTCCAGAGAAACGGTGGCAGGTGTCCTGACCTCCTTGTTAGAGCCGAAAGTGCGCTTCTCGAAGAAAGGAGGGCTGAGAACGTCAGACCAGTAGTCGGCGCTGAGGTTGTGACCGGAGAGGTCGGCGGGAGGGAGTGGGGGGTCGAGAGCGCGGAGCTTGTCTGCAAGCTGGTATTCGGCGGGGAAGACACCACCTAATGGATGAGAGCGTTAGCAAAGATGAATAGACGAATGATGCACAAAGTAAAGACGTACGGATCTCAACGGCAACAGGAGTAAGACCAAACTCCTCCTCCTTGCTCCTCAAAGCAGCGGAAATCTTGTCGACAATGTTTGCCTGCTCAGTTGCGCCAACCTGGCCGTTGGCAGCAACAGACACGTTTTCAATCTCGCGTTCCAAAATCTTACGGACGGTTTTGGCGGCGGCACGTTCAGAGTCGGGGAGGTTGCTCTCAACGTCAAGGTAGAAAGCAGAGGTCTCTGCGTCGGTCACTTGTACGTAGACAACGGCGTAGGCATCAACCTTCTTTCCGTCTGCGGGTTTGATCGGGCACGTCAGCATTTATGATTGATATCGTATCCTAAGCCAAAGGAAAGGCACCTACCCTTGGACTGGCCCTGCGCGAGCACACCCATGACAACGGGCTTGGCGGACTTGACAGCCTTGAGCTTGTCAACGCCCGGAATCAAAAAGTGGACGCCGTGCTCCAAAACCTTGGACGGCTGGCCACCTCTCTGCATCACCCATGTCTCTCCGTATGGTACGTAGCTGAGACCCTTTTTTAAGAAAAACAGATCGTGATCAGCATTACTGCGGTCTGAAAACTCCCAGACATTTCACTCTTCACTATGTAAACTCTTCACGTTCACGTCAACATTATAACTCTACGACCGCACAGCGGACTTGGATCTGCAGCAAGGGCATAACCGCAAAAATTATTCCCCATCAGCTAATAAACTTACCAAGAACTTGGGCTTGTATCCGGAAAAGACATCGGAGGTAGTCCAGAAATCCCACTTCTTTTCCCGAGCCTCGAGTTCACGGTATTGTTGAGCGGGGACACCGTTTTCGAAAGGAACGATGGGGTTGTGGATCTGGGGGACGGTGAGGGTGTGGCCATTACATGCCGGGATGACGTTCTTTGTGGCCTGTTTGAGAGTAATCATAAGTAAAGGTTTGGCAGATTCGTTGGGTTATGGAAATGACACGAGTTGTCAATGTGTCGCAATCAGCACCCATCGCCTGAAGTCTTTTTCAACCTTGAGTAACCGATATCATCATCTCCGTCGACAGTGACCCTTTTCAGAAACGACGAAGTAAAGGTAAAGTCGCAAAGTTGCTCTGACGCGCGCAGATCCGGTCTCCACACCTACTCATGTCGCCTTCCTATCGGCTGTCCCATCCATCAGATCTGTATATTCTCCGAGTACCACATCGCTCATCCTATTTTCTCTCTCACAGTGTATGTATGTCTTCCAAGTCAAAGTGGTAATGTAAGATAGTACATACGAACCTTGGACACGACCGACGACCTCTTAAGGGACGCCCTAGCAACGTTGATGAGAACGGCAGAGGGAGCCATTGTGCCAAAATGCAAGTTGCGTAGATGTGGAAGGAAAGGGGGGGGGGATCTAAGACGGGGGGGGGGGGGGGGGGGAAAGATTAGTGTCTCCTCTCTCTCTCTCTCTCTGATCTCTCTTTCTCTGTCTGTCTGTCTGTCCTGCGCAAAACTCGCCCTCTCTCAAAAGTTGCAAGATCTGTTTCGTTGATTGCCGAAAAACCGGGCACTCGCCCCCCTCTCGGCCCCACACACACACACACACGGTGATAATGCGTTATAACCAGGGTTGATAATAGTATTCACATGCACGGTGATAAACGGGTCGTTATGGCTTATTACGTAACCCGAGTCCTGCCGTGAAGTGAAGTGGCGTAGTCATACCGGCGCACACATCTTGTTATTATTTGATCTTGAAAATTGAACCCTGCAACATGCACCCCGTCCGACCCCATATGCACATGCACATGCACATGCATAGTGCAGTGGAGCAATGCAATGATGTGAAAAAAAGGCATGTCCCTCACATGCATTCCCCAAACAGTTGCGAACAAAATAAAATAAATCAAAAGAACTGTGCAACCACCGGGGTTCGAACCCGGGCCCCTCGCTTGGGAAGCGAGAATCGTAACCACTTGACTATGGTTGCTAGTCGGCTAATAATAAGAACTACATTGCTCAGTACCTTAAACTGCAATAGGCTGGTATGGGGCAATAGTTTGTTCTCAAACCCTTTTTTCTTTTTGCCACGACCTTAACGGACGGCAAATCTTTTGTAAAAGAAATCGAAAAAAGCAGAGGGCAAGAAAGAAATTGAAAGAAATGAAATGGGTATATATCATTGTTCAAATCAAACAAACATAAAAAGCACACGTCAAAAGTCACGCAACATCCAAATCTCGACTAAAAACTAACGTGCACCGAGTCCAAAAACCCTCACAAAATAAATTAAGATATCAAATCATGTCCGTCCGTCCTGTCCGTCAACAATTTATCGCAGCGGGACTTTCGTGTGGTGTTGGCGCCAAAGCGCTTTTCATGGCTTTACCTTCCTTCAACAGACGCTCTTTGCCCCATTTCTCACTGGCGTAGCGAATCGCCCATGTCAATTCATATGTGCGCGCAGCATCGTCCCAAGGGCAGAGCACAGCTTCCGGGTTGCAACTTCTCACGGCGTCCACAAGGCATTCCATTTGTGTAAGGTACGGATCGTCCTCGGGGAAGGTGTAGAGCACCTCGGCATCCGATGCCGGAGACCGGACATACACGCGCGGGTTGTCGTAGGGTGAAACCAAGCGGAACATCCAACCGTCGCAGTGCACTTCAAGCTCGCAACTGTATGTGTGTCCTTGAAGGTTGATGGTGTGGACCATTGTTCCCACAGCGCCAGACTTGTATTTGAATACGGAAGACGTAACGCGAGGGACACGGTCGTCAGGCGCAATCGACTCTTCGTCAACGGGTGTGACGGATAATTTTCCCGGGGGTTCATACCACTCGACGGCGTGTGCTTGAACGGACGACATGTCTACTTCTCCGCCAAAGAAGCACGAGAGGTCCACAAAGTGCGTCCCTTGCTCGACGATCGGCGAGCACGAAATGGATTTCATCCACCAATCCATCTTCTTGATGGACTCGTAAGTGCAGCTGTAGCGCGCAATGGTGGTCATCACAGTGAGGTTGTTGGCGACAATCAACTCCTTGATTTTTGTGACTGCCTTGAGGTACCGCATAAAGTATCCTACCGACACAATGCCGCCTTGCTGCTGGAAGCGACGGCCAATTTCCAACACTTCATCAGCAGGGGAGGAGCTCATAGGCTTCTCTACAAAGAGCGCGGTGCGCGGACCGCAAACGCGGCGAAATTGGAGCTCGATATCCTTGCCCGGCTGCAGGCTACCGTGAAATGCCGGCGGAATACCGATGAGGACAATGTCGGGAACGGGTGTGGATGGGTCTGATTGGATGGCTTCAAGGTAACGCGGGACGGTGTCGAATTCTTGGGTATATTGGTAAGATGGAGCTACCGGTTGGGAGCGTTTCTCGGCAAGCACTTCAGCGCGGCGCGCTGGTGACGGGTCGATGATAGCGGTAACATTGAGATCCGCTCCAAGGACCTTTTCTAAGCGCACCGAATGGTTCCAGGGCCCGTCTGGTGTGCCGAAATGGATACCGCCTGCGCCAACGAACGCGACCTTGAGAGTGGTCGTAGCGGTGAGTCCTGGCATCTTGCACATGTTGACAGTTCGTTACGAGTGTTGCACTGTGCGAAAAGTGATGGCGAGGAAGCTCGCAAAGAGCAATGTCACTTTTTAAAGGAGTTGGGAGCTTTTTGAATACGGTTGTTGATGAATGAAACTCTTCAATGAATATAGGCTCTTCGAAAATTCTTCAGAACAGAGGTGTGTGTGGATTGGGTGGGGTATTCAGTTGAAGCGATTGATAATTTGGGAAGAGTTCCTCGAGCCGTGTGAGGTGAATGGCGATGCTGTTGTAGACGCTTGTCTGAGAGTGTGTAAGCTTGGTTTGATTGTGCGCTGTGTGATTGGCAATGAATTGAGTAGTAGAGGACTGTTCAAGGAGGGGGAGAGCGACGGCAGCATCAGAATTTATATTCCTGGTCAAGGCTCACTGCCTCATTGTCTCGTTGGGGACCACCTGAATTTGAATCCTGTTCAACGGAGTCTTGACATGATCTAGACCGACCGAATCGAACTGGATCGAGGTGGGGGTGTGTTGTTTCCACGTCGATGTCCCTTTGGTTACTGTCATGTTGTGCTGTGCTGCATCGTTAGTTTGGGGTGATGGATTGCTGTGCTGTGCCGTTTTTGCAGAGAGAGCCATGCAAGCGCCAATTTTTTTCAATCCAAGGCTGGGCTGGGGGGTTGTTTTTGGTTGTGTGTGTGTGTGTGTGTGTGTGTGTGTCTGCGGGTCTGTGGGGATGTGCCTCGGGTCTGTTTGGAGGAGAGGGTCATCCGTTCAAATTCACAACTCAACTGGGCGTATTCACACATTTTGCAGCCATTCAAATTGTGGGGGGGGGGGGGGGGGCGTGGGCCTGAACATGTTTCATTCCTATTCACAGTCAGTCATCATGCGGTCTGCACATTCACTGGCCACCAACAGACGTATTCGTAGACAGCAACGGCTAACGTTAACACCTGCTGCTGTGGGTAATCATTTCTCAATACAATCACCGCCCCCATATTTTTATATATATGATGATTCCTCTTGTGATTCAAGAAAAAAACCAGTTGTCCCCCCCCCCCCGCCGCCCATTTTGACATTTGACGGACGGTGCAAATTTGAACGTTCCAAAGTCTGGTTTGGTGGGAATTTGAAATGGATGAAACGGAAGTGGTCGCGTTCTAGATCCTATTTGAAGGAGTCCATGAACCGACAGATTGGATAGTTAAGAGTTGTAGTCATAGGGCTTTGAGCCATCTCATTTCCATGAGTTGGATGTTCCCTGCGTGGCTTTGCCGCCACAAAGTCAACGGCTCCACTTTCGGCCGTGATCGTTAAAGCTCCGTCTTCTTAACGATCAAACCCCACGGAGCTGATCATAAATATGATGTGATGTGATGTTGTTCGAGTGTGGCCATGAACTGTTGCATTGCATTCACGGAGCAAACAAGAGAGTGTTCCAAAGTAGAACCTATTAACGGTTCGGTGAATCCTCCTGCTGGGGTGTGAATTGAACACTCATAGCCCCACCTTCGAGTTCTACAATGCATTCGATAAGGACCACCTCCATCATACATGCACATCCACCACCGTGTATACTGTAATCCAATGATGAATGACCATGCACATCTGTCAGAACTCTCCCTCTACATATACATATACAGCGCATCATGGCCGCCAACCGCCAGCAGATGTTGGAAGAATTACGATTCGCCTGATATAGCCACATTGCAACAAGCTACTTCACGGGGATTCTGGGGATAGGCGCCCTTCTTAGGGACAGGGCTCGGCGACCCTGAAGACTATGGAGGCTTTCCGCTTCTAACGCGGGTGGGAATACCGCCGAGCCCTAGCGCCTCAAGCTCAGCTTCAAGGGAGGGGCGAGTGTGCCAGGAGGCCGAGACGCGTCGTGGTTGTTTGCCTTCGATGAGAGGATTTGGAAATGCGCTGGGAGCACGTAAAACTCTTTGGCAATTGTTCACAATTTCACAGCACTGCATCACGTTGGAGACGCCATAACCCGCTGAGTATCCAAATTCAGCGCTTGGGCCAACTTCGCCAGGGCAGGCATTTGGTTCAATCGTTGAATAATCCGGATGCGCAGCATTGGATGGAGTAGGAAAATGAAAATAGATCGCAAAAAAGGAAGGGAAACGCGCGGAAGACGAAGGACAAACTCTGTAGAAACGCGAGTTGCCGAATGTCCTTTCCCATCCACCTCAGTCCCGTACATACAGAAAGAGATACATATACATATGCACCACCAAGTCTGATTTTACAGCAAACCTACGCAGAGCGTCCACTGCACATGATGTTTCCTCAGGTACTGCCAACCCCTCCGAATGCTTGAATTCATGCATCGTGAAACTCAACTTTCACATCTCATGCTTTGTTTCCTTCCAGCTCAACTTCTTTAGTCATAACAGGTTCAAATCCTTATTTGAGGCAGGGGTCTTCAAGGATTGTACCATGGCAACAGCCTTTGAACTCTTATGCAAGGAGCCGTATCTTGACCAACCCACGTTGTTCACTTTGAGTGCCCATCAGTATGCGAGTCGATTTGAGGATGCCGTTCTCTTCCTTGCACGAGAGTATGGCAGCGCCTGTAAAAACACTCTTAAGCGGGCTGCGTATCGCATGCTCAAGCGATGGGTATGTGTTCATGAAACGGCGTACGCGCGGTGAAGGATTTCTCCATCACTGTTGCCGGCTGTCTGCGAATGGAGACAGGTCGCAATGTCCTCACATTTGTTTGGCTCGGCAAATGATCGTCTATGAGAGTAGTGTGTGTGAAAGAGTCTCTGATTTCCGCGTTCTCCCGTCCGAAGAGCGAAAGCAAGAATGACTTTGTACAACACTATTTGCAACGCTGCTCGGAAGCGAGACTTGGTGATAAAGCCTGGACATTTGCAGGAGCCGTAAGAACATTCTATTGTTTGAGCATTACTAGTAAAGCTCTCATGATGCTCTGGACTGTTTAGAATCGTCTGAGTTCTCGACAACGTGAGAGTACCGCTACGCAAACACCACAAGGCATTGATCGCTTTCGCACGCCGTCTCCGGGAAGCCGGGCCCTGCCTATTGCTTTTGAAAGGGACATCGGCAAAGATGGAAAGGAAATCGGTGATGAAGAAGAACAGGAGAACATCGCATGTACCACAAATACTTCATCCGCAGCGAGTAAGTGCAACTACCATTCATTCCGTCAAATGGATTTTGGTTAGACTGATTCATAAATAAAACTTAGGGAGTAATTGGCTGCAGCGGTATAGTGTGATCACCGACTTGCAGGTACTCAAGTCAAGAACTGTCATCCAGCACCGGGATGCTTTCGACATGTTTGATAAGGTATCTGGAGTCTTTGTTTCTGATCCCTTAACGGTCTTAGTCACATGCTAATACCTTGGATCAGGAAGAGAACGCTGTCACAATCGCATGCGATGCGGTGTGGAAGAGCAGCCC